TGGATAATTTGGAATACTTGTATCTACTCATTATGAATATAAGAACAAAATTGTGTATGTATTTTGTCTAGTCGCAGATGTATTAATATAACTACTAGTATTTATCACCTATGTTCGACGCATAAGGAAGAAAATTTATCGACAGTATACACCACCAGTAGTTCTCACCATGTCTATGGATGGTTTGTTATCTTCTGTTCAAAAAACGTTGGGAGTTTACCACATTTGTTCTAAACTGTTTGGCATACCAATATCAAAGCTAAATTCACTATTTCAAGAAACCCAAATCACTTCTGTTATTGCTAAGTACAGACTGGTTGCAATTATCATGGACATTGCTAACCACAGGCTATTCAAACCCGCGACAAATACTACCACAAATTATTAAAAAACGTATTTGTTTTAAAGTAGAATTTGCTGAAAAGGGTTTAGGTGCTATTAATATTCACAATATTCTCCAAGAAATAACGGTAAATAAAATAATACATGATTATTTTATAGAATAAACAGAACCTGTTATTTTATAAACTTACACTAAACCTAAATCCAAAATTTTCAAATACAAAAGGGGATAAAAAAAACCTTTAACCGCAAGGATGTACAATCAAAAACCCTTGCTCTTGTTCATCATCCCAATAGAAAAATAGCCTCGCTGGTCATGTATGTCCGAGGAAATTGGCATCCAAAACAATGAACAAATGAGAATGTTCTTAGCCAAAGGCCTCAAATATCGAATGTTGCATCCAATCAACTGGGAGAAAACTTTATATTACTGATAAGTGCATTTGACAACTATGACAGACATGGAGTAAAGAGTCAACAGGAAGAACCCAAACTGCACTCTTTATTTAAGTGGATAAAGCTGCTCGGTCATGCATTCAGACGCGCATTCAAAAACTACGATATACCATGAGACCATTGTATTATATTCCTTTCAAGGAGCCTGAGGTAGTTGATGCTTTATTTTCTCCGACAAATATGTTGTTGTTCCAGCAGACAAAGCCTCAAACTATACGTTTTATAAATTGAAAAATTAAAACTAAAGAACTTGGAATGGAGAGCGAATTTGGGAATTCTGTATATAGCCCTACATTTGTCACGATAAAAAAATATTAACAAAAATACCGAACTTCAAAGTAAACTCAAAACGGCGAAAGTCAATAAAACCTGACAAAATCAAACGCTCGACTATATCAACCATCGTAACGAAAGGAAAACAAAAGTCATATTCCTGAATTGGAACAGGCATTTTCCGAGGAAAGTGGTGGGTTATACCTGGTTTTGTAGCTAGCTAAACTTTCCACTTGTATGATAGCTGTCTCTATTTCCGTTATATTGGCAAACATGGGTGGGCAACCAATTAACATAATTGGTTAATGTGACATTTTAAAAAATCATAAGTCCTTCCTATTTGCTTTTAAAAAAACGATAAAAAGCCTGTTCGTCTATATGTTCGACTAAACATATTTTCAAAGTTTAAATATCAATTAGAATTCAAACAGGATCTTATCAAAGACAAAGAGAAAAGCATCATGCAAATATCTTTAATTTCACTTTCAGATTTATTGATGATATCCTGTCACTTAATAACCAAAATTTCAGTGAGTGCTTGTATATCATTCATCTCAGTGAACTTGCGATTAAGGATACTACCGAAACTGGTAGGTCTGCTTCATTCTTCGTTCCTTTAATTGATGTTGACATAGATGGACAACTTTATATCAGAATTTATGACACACGTGAGAATCTCAATTTTCAAATTGCCAATATACATACTCTCTGCGCCCATCGCATGGCGTTTACATATTGCAAGTTAAACGTATTGTTCCTGTATGTTCACAATATAACGACTTCATTAACTAAGATGTGCTCTTAACACAAATACTGCTCCGATAGATTAATAAGAAAGAAATACTGCAATCAACATCACATAAGCTTTACTGCACCCATCACGAATTGGTTGACCAATACGATGTGTCTTTATCTTAGCTCGCTAGCGATATCCATTCTTTACAAACCAGAATAGTCGTCTGATCTGTATATTTCCTGATTGTGTCCGATTTCTGATTGTGAAACTTTGACTTAGTGTGGATTTGTTTGGCAGATGGTATATATATAAATAAGAAGATGTGGTTTGAGTGCCAATGAGACAACTCTCCATCCAAGTCACAATATATAAAAAGTTAACAATTATAGGTCAAAGTACAAGTATATGCATGGTATTCATAGGTTCATGTGTCGTATTTGTTTTTCATAAAAAAAAACATTTCACATTTTCCATGTCGGGCCTTTTAAAGCGGACTACACGGTATGGGATTTTTTCTCATTGTTCAAGTTCGTTCGATGAACTATAATTGCTTATATCCACGTCATTTGAACTCTGGTAGATAGATGTCTCATTGGAAATCATACTTTTGTAAAGCAAAAGACTAGTACCTTGTCGAAGCAAACGGTCTTGATCCTTATTTCAGTTCCTGCGGTTGCCTCAGTTTTTTTTTACCTTGATGTGTATCTTCATAATGTTTTTTTTTTAGATTTGAAAAGCAGTAAAATAATTTGAACTTTGATTTGTCTTACTGAAAATCTCAACTAACTAGTGTCATATATTTTTTTAGACATCAGAATAGCCGTCTTATCTGTAATTTTACAAGTTATGTTTGAACCCGATTGTTACATTTTGACTGACAATGGATTCGCAAGGCGGGTGTTACATTTATAACCGATCTCGTTTCTTTTTGAGTTCCTGCAATTTGTTGTCGTTATTCTCTGATGTGTATCATCTTAATAGATTTATGAGATCTAAACATCATATAATATTGTGTTGCCTCTAATTTGTCGTACGTGAAATTTAGTATAGAATCTACCGTTTGAACAGAAGTATGCAAAACAAGAAAAAAAAAACGATTATTATCGTTCTTATCACATTAATGTAAAGCTGCTTCTCTGGGTAAATTTCCGCAGTAGGATTAAAAAATTCTTGATTTCTAAATCAAAAATATCAAGTTAACGATAAGTGTTATTTATTTCACCTGGAACGCATACACCTTAATATTCGAAAACCAATAAAAGGTATGAGGTTTGGGATTTTAAAACATTTTGGCATCGAGTATCACTAAAGAGACACTAATTACCGAAATGTGCATCTGGAGCAGTAGATTCGTTTAATGTGATTACTGCAAGTAAGAGATGAGCAAAAGTTTGAGCTATGGAACCTTTGAACGGTATCCATGTCTTTTTGACATGGTTAATCAAACATTGATCTCCTTTCCAAGGTTCATTGCTATATTTTTCATGATAGATGAGTTTTTTTCTCAATTACTTCAGGCTACGGGTCATCTCTTATATAGTCTATAAGACGATTATAAAGAAAAGTTGTCCATCAAACAGGATTTTCTTTATCTTGGCATAATTTTCATCGTTTACTGATTATGTAAAGTTTTTGTGTTTACTTCAGATTCTAATTTACAATAAGTTATAGGTAAATATATGTGTTGTTTAGAATCAATGTCAGTGTGTTTTAAAAAATGAAAACAGAACTTTATAAATTTCATAAAACGCTTTTCTTGATTTACTTTCAGCAAGAACGCTCATAGCGGAATATTTGAAAGCCATTAATGTTTAAGAACCGAAATAGTTGATGAGCTATATGACTGAAATTAAAGTGGTCTCATCTGACCTCAATATCATTTTCATGGTTGATCATACCTGTATTTAGATGTTAACCACATGAATTTTAATATAAATTCAGTCATAATAAGTAAATCAGAAGGAACATTTTAACGTGTCAGTTTAAGGTTTTTCTCCTTTTTTCCTTTTTTTTTGATTTGCTACTTTATGAAAGGGATACTTAGTTTTGGGAGACTGTGTGCTGAACAACATGGTACTTTGATAACTATATCGCCACATATTTTCACACCTTCAGACGAAAAGGATCTTGCCTGTGACTGTTGCTTATTACTTATGGATACCATTCGGTTTTCATTGATCGTTTAACCTTCTTCAAATTTATATAGTTAAACTTTCCTTACATGCAAATTTTTAGTGTTGATATATTTTTTGAATTTTCATTGAGCTATTTAAGCAGTATCATGTTTGAAAATTTGAAAATGTAAAATCGCTTGTTTATGAATATTATTTGAAATTAACGCTAAACCATTAATTCTAGCCAAACAAAATAAAGTTTATCCTTTAATAGGGTCTTTAAAATATCCAATTAACAAAAGTTCACCGCAATCTATACCTATGTTTTCCCTCCATCGAAAACAAGAAAGAGGTTTTTTGTTTATTTAGACAATTATTACATTTTATGTCTCAATAATCAAATTCTATACTAATTGATTATTTTGCCAACGTTTCCAAACGCCACTCAATTGTTAATTTCCCCTCAAAAGCATACACTCTGACACTTGTTCGATTGTCTGTCCTAAACAAATGATTTCCCGTTAATAATCTTAGAAGACGGTACCGCTGCTGGTTGGCTGGATATAAAATATCTAGTGTTATAGCACTTGAATGATATTCAATTTATAAATTATGTAATTGTGTTAAAACTGAGGTTGCCACTCAAACGGGCAATATTTATCTTAAACGGTAAGGGTTCATCTGTTTAGGACCGTTTTTATACCACTGGCATTTATATTTCTGATTTCAAAACGTTTTTGTCTTGATTGTTCATGATTAACTTTATTCCAGAAAAATGTGTTGTGCGCACAAAAATCAGTTTCAAACGAATATATTTGAACATAAACGCAAAATAGAAATGTCGTTCGAAGTAGGCATTATATGACGTGCACAATTTCTTTAATATGTCCAAAACAATAGACATTTTCTATATCTATGGTTTGTTTTACTTTAACATTATATGAGTTAAAAACGCAATATTACCTAATGCCGTTTCCACGTCATGTAAAGAATATCAGTTAACACAAGGACAACATCATGTACTAGTAATATAATGCAACAAGAAAAACCCTTGAAAGGAATAAATCGACTTAGCTTACCTTTTAATATTAATCTAAGGTCTAAATCTATGTCATCTTCTGTAGCCATCATTGGACGTATATAAAAAGATGAGCTTATTCCGAATAATGATATGATTAAGCAGCACAAATAGACCAATATACACTGTTGCATATCTGTAAAAAAAAAAAAAGGAAATAGAATTTTCGGTGATAGCCATGATGTAGTTGACTGAATTGTGTTTAAATATATATACGATGTACATAAATATAGCATATAGCATAATGTTTGCTCAAGAGAGAAAAGTTAAATGTTAATGATACATTATAGCAATTCAAAAGTACGAGAATGGCTCACCATATCAACTCATCCAAGGATTCAAAAGTCTTAGAGTGACCTTTAACGTCCGTCATTCGTTAAGTTATCAATCATAACTTTTATTTGAAATAAAGAAAATAATAATAATGAAGACAATAAGTTCATCATAACTTACGTAGATGGTAGCACAAATGATTGAAGAATCCTCTTAATTATTTTTTTTTACCTACTGTGGATTCATTTATTTTCGTGGATATCAATTTTCGTGGATTGCTGAAAACCTGCATATTCGTGGATATTTGATTTCGTGTTTTTTTTTCAATCTCTGTATTCAAAGCCTATTCAAAATATGTTATTCGTTGAACATTTGAATTCGTGGTTCCCCTGTACCCACGAAACCCACGAAAATTGGTATCCAACGATTATTAATGAATCCACAGTACATCAAAGAGATTGGTTTACATCTCCCGCGAAATTTACATCATCAAAAGCTTAAATAGCAAAATAAGATATCTAAAAATCAGACAAATTTCGTAAAAAACAATATATATACTTGCTATTTAGAGCAATCCCAATCCTGAAGGAAACGACATCCTATATAAAGCGTTCATGACAATAATTCATTAATTCATTAGATATAACATGTCATTTGTCAGTGACAAAGTAAAATTGCAATTAATAATTAATAGAACTATATGGTTTACTGACAGAACATTTTGAAAATCAAACTTGCTAACTGAGCAGTCTTCCTTAGGGACAAACTTGATATGACTAGAACATCAAAAACAATGACATTATGTAAATAAACCAACAGCTCCAGAGACGTTAAAACAATGGTGTATATGACATTCGATACAAATAGTTATAACAAAATAAAACATCGGTATATGAAAAACTTATCAGTTTCGTTAATTATTATTTTTTTTTTGCAAGTAATAGTTCTTGGTTTTCCTATCAAGTGAACTTGTTTTCGTGAAATAAAAAAAAGTATGTATCATGCAAAAATCCATATCAAAAGACATTTATAGGCAAATTTATGGTTTAGATTCCTAAAGTAAAAATGTAAATATTTTTTCATACAATATCTTTATTTTTGTTTATTTAAAGTAAGTTATTTAATAACAACAATATTTGCTCATGCATTCTTACTATTGTAACATTGTTACAAGGGTAGTTCAAACACATATCTTTCATATTTTTTAATTTGTTGCAATCTATTTTCATCTACTTCTAACATTTCATAGACTCAAAAGTTGTGATATCTTTAATACTAAACGAAAAGACCTGTTTTGTGTGTCGCTTCTTCGTCGTCTAGATCAAATCAATCAAAATGGTTATCTACCCTAAAAGTAGAGTGCAACCTGTTGTTATGATAGTTCAGTTTGGGTTAGTTCTAACTCGAATAATTCAGCCGTTATATTCCGCTGATCTACGATTACTTCATTACATCCTAAGTAGGAGAGATCGATTACGGGAAGGGACTGAATCATTCGGGTTAGGTTAGTTCGGGAACAATTCTGAAAACACGACGATTTCCAAATGAGCTTTCCGTCATCAGTGTCGGATTTTATACAGATTTAAGAAGATGTGGTATGAGTGCCAATGAGACAACTCCCCATCCAAGTCACAATTTATAAAAGTAAACCATTATAGGTCAAAGTACGGTCTTCAACACGGAGCCTTGGCTCACACCGCACAACAAGCTATAAAGGGCCCCAAAAAGTACTAGTGTAAAACCATTCAAACGGGAAAACCAACGGTCCAATCTATATAAAAAACGAGAAACGAGAAACACTTATGAACCACATCAACAAACAACAACTACTGAACATTATGTATACTACTTCCGCATCCTTTTTTGACGGGTTGTACAAATACAAATACAAAAAGTTTCATTAAATGTCGTTAAAACAGCAAAATTGACTAGATTAAGAGAATTCAATTCCAGAAAACCCACCCAAATTTATACCAAGGCTCATCAAATTTAATTGATACCCGAATAAATAATTATGATTAAAAAACATGCAAAACTGTATTTGAACATGCAAAACTGTAGTTTGTTATCCTCTTCAATGATTATTCATTTAAGGATAGTCGGGAAATAATTGTGTTTTATCTTTCAATTATAATGAAAAGCATCACTGTCAATTCACAGTTTTATCTAACAAAACAATAACATTGACGACTTTCTTAAAAAACAAAGGCAATATTGCCGATCTCAAGTTTGGTACATGCATAAATCCTTTGTTTTAGATATAGCTTTTGTTTTATTTTGAAATAATTGGCAATGCAAGGTGTTATGGTCCATTATGAATGAAAAAATGAAAATTCTATTCTGACTGTGTTGTTTACACTTCATCTTTCGTATTCGGGGCTGTCGGGGCTTTGATAATCCAGATACATGAGATTTTTTTAAGTTGGTGGGATTACAGCAAACATCAAACAAAACAATATTGTTCAAATTGCTATCTTTTCCCACAAGATTGCCTAACTGTACTATCCCTGATTTGAGTCCTGGCTCTTTTAAGGGTAAGCTCCGTCATTAAAACTAAATGACGTGTTTTACCTGTTTATAAATTGCACCTAGGTTTTTAAAAATTACATTTCTAAATTTTTCATGTGCACACTCAAAAATGTGGCACGATAGTCAAAAAGGTTACGGTGCCCGCTTACGGAAAGAAGATAACATTTTCCCACGATATTGAACAGTAGTTAATGTCCAAGAAGGGAAGGAAGGTACAAAGACACACAAAAAAACGAAAAGTATAGAAATGTCAGCAAAGTATGGAAAATACACATAATTTAAAAAAGATAGGTCTAAAATGCCGTTACATGGATGGAAGTTTATAAAGCTTAGGAGGAATTGCAGATAATAAGTGATATTATATAACCATGCTGTTGCTGAAGCTGCAATAAAATGAACAAAGAATTAAAAACAGACAACCTATAGTTGGTAAAATTTACTTCATTTGGATTTAGTACCTTGTTGCTATTTGTCTCATCTTATCATACATCGGAGCCAATGCTTAAGCTTCTTAACTCTTCACATAGTTCCTCTGAGTATCAAGATCAATTTTGTCTCCAGGGTGCAAATTAACAACAATCGATGCAGCAGCACATAGTTACCAAACATCGATGCTGCAGGGCGTTATTACCAGCAATCGATGCTGCAGGGCGTAATTACCAACAAACAATGCTGTGGGAGTACATACCAACAAGCCATGTTATAGGGCATAGTTACCAACAATCGCGTAGTTACCAACAATCAATGCTTCGGACGTTATTACCAAAAACCAATGCTGGCGTTATTCACTACAACCAATGCTGCAGGGCCTAAAAAAACAATCAATACTGTGGACGAAAATTACCAACAATCAATGCTATGAACAAAAACTACAAAAAAAATCAACGCTGTCGAGGTAACTACCAACAATCAATGCTGCAGACCGTAATAACCAACAATAAATTGCTGCAGGGTGTTATTACCAAAAACCAATGCTGCAGGGCCTAAATTCAAACAATCAATACTGTGGACGAAAATTACCAACAATCAATGCTGTGAACAAAAACTACCAAAAATCAACGCTGTCGACGTAACTACCAACAATCAATGCTGCAGACCGTGATAACCAACAATGAATGCTGCAGGATGTAGCTACCAACAACCAATGCTGTAGACAGAAACTACCAACAATCAATGCTGTGGATGAACTTGCCAGCAATCAATGCTGCAGGGCGGAATTACCAACAATCGATGCAGCAGCACAAAATTACAAACAAGCAATGATGTGGACGTTATTACCTACAATCAATTCTCTACAGTATACTTCCACACAATCTTTTCTTGTTCAAGCAAATTGTCCTTCAAAGAACATAATTGCATATGTATTTGCTGCAACTCATATTAGGCCTTACGAATAAAAAAGGTAAATTTGCTTAAAATAAATACTGGAACTATGATGAGATGATTAAAGCTTTTAATTTTTTAATGTACTTTTCGGCAATATAGGTAATAGACAGGTTGTAGGTACTTCATTGGGAACCATTTTCGCCCTTTAACAGCAGGCTTCTTCTTGTATTGATACAATTCACAGTGTATGGACAACACACTTAAGGTCGTCTAAATTTCATTTAATACAGAAAAATAACAATTAACCGACTTTAAAAATAAATCTAATTTAAACAGCTGTATTTTTATTTGTCTCGATTTGGATATTCCAGCACGATACAAAAATGTACGACAAAAGAGACAATTTTTCGTTCTTTTTTTTTTTTGGTTTTTCTTCATTGGTTTCATTTCTTATTAAAAATAACAACCCATGCAGTACAAAAAAAAACCATGTTGTACGAAAACAACCCATGCTGTATGAAAGCAACCCAAGTTCATTAAATTATTACCTCCGCCCATTTAATTAACCTACAATATTTTTCGCATTGTTCCGATACTTCGTGTTAGCGGTTATGCTTTTTAAAAATTCTCAAATTCTCAAATTTGGAATTAGTATACAATATATTTTGTAAATATGGATAATTGATATAAATATATCACAATAATTTTTTCGAAAAACTGTAAAATTTATACGGAATGAAAGCAATTGACCATAGTTGTTTTAGCAAGAGAGAGTTTCCGTGCTTCATGCAAAATATGGAGGTCATTTGCTTTCATTTCGTGTTAATCTTAAAAAAAAAATCAGCATTCCATTTTCTGATTTATTTGTGCCTTCAGGTGTCTCAGTAAATCATCTCTTGCTGCCTTAAAATCTTTAAGTCAATAATATATTGCTACCTTCAAATGTATCAGCCACTAATCTCTTACTGTCTTCGATGTCTTGGTCAATAATATATTGCTACATTACCA